CATTTCATAAAGTTGAGAGACTAAATTTAGCATTTAACCAAAGTTTAAATATGGCCTAAATCAAGCTTCCCCGTGCATGGTTTACTAAGCTTAAAAATTTTATTATCTCTCAAAGCTTCTCTTAATCTAAGTTCGACTCGTCTCTTTTTATTTTTCACTACGGCTCTACTTGGATTTATTTTCTTGTCTATGTCGATATTATAATTATAGGAAATGATTCCTCTACTGTTCAATCTTTTATTCAAATCATGGGAGCTCATTTCTCTTTAAAGGATTTAGGGCCTCTCAGTTTTTTCCTCGATGTTGAAGCAATTCCCACTGCTACTGGTCTTTTCTTATCTCAAAATCAATACATTACTGATCTTCTCCAACAGTACACATGCATGAGGCCAAGCCTGTGTCCGCCCCTCTTGTTGCTTCCACTTCGTTGCATCTTGGTTCTGGTTCACCTATTTTTGATGGATCTATTTACTAGCATCTTCTTGGCTCATTGTAGTATCTTGCTTTCACTTGTTCGAATCTCTCCTTTGTTGTGAATAAGCTGTCTCAATTTATGCATAAGCCCATTGACACTCACTAGCAAGTGGCCAAATGTGTTCTTTGCTACTTGTGCGAAACTAGCTTTCATGAGTTGTTGTTACGACATTAGCATGCTCTATCCTTGCATGCCTACTCCGATGCTGACTAGAATACCAAACAGAAGGCGGTAGCTCAGAGCTCTACAAAGGCTAAATATCGTGCCTTAGCATCTGCTGCTTCTAAACTTGTTTGGGTTTGCAATCTACTCTTGGAACTTGGAGTTTTTGGTCTTGGCTCTCCTGCTTTGTTTTGTGATAATATTGGTGGCACTTAGTTGAGTCTCAATCCTATTCTACACTCTCATATAAAACACATCATTGTTGATTTACACTTTGTTCAGATTTGGTCGATCAGAAAATCCTTCATGTTTCTCACATTTCTTCTCATGATTAGCTTGATGATGGCCTTACCAAGGCTCTACCTACTGCTCATTTTTCCAGTTTACGTTCCAAGATTGGTGTTACTGATGGCACGTCCATCTTGCAAGGGTGTGTTAAGGCAATTATATCTTAACCTTTTCCACGTGAAAGCAATTAATGACAACATGATTTTAGGATTCATTCAATCTATAATTTATATTTTTATTATACTGTATCATATATATTGTTTCCATATCAACTAGGATTCTGTGTTGATGCTTCTATTTATATATTATTCACAAGACAACAATAAATGTAGAAGATAATGCCTTTGGGGTTTTTCATTATTGTAAAAGAGTATATATACATGTGGTATATTGTAGAAAACACCCTAATTACCCTTTACAAGTATATAACTATAATATATACATTATCATCTCCCCTCAATTTGAGCGGGCATACAAAGCACGTCTAAATTGGCCCTTTAAGTATGAAATAAGGGCATAGAAAGAGCCTTGGTCAAGACATCAAGACATTGAAAATATGAAGAAACATGTCAAATGGATAGAATCCTAGAAACAATCCTCTCTCTCACAAAATGAATGTCAATTTCAATATGCTTAGTGCGCTGATGCTAAATGGGATTAAGAGAAAGATAGATAGCACTAAAATTATCACAAAATAGCACTGATGTTGTAGGAAGAAAAGCATAAAGCTTAAAAAGTAATTAGTGAACCCATATTACCTCTGCAACAGCATTGGCAAGAGCACAATACTTAGCTTCTACACTAGAATGAGCAACAATGTGTTGTTTCTTAGATGGCCAAGAAATAAGAGAATTGCCTAAAAAAAAACAATATCCAAAAATAGACCAACAAGTATCAACAACTTGCCCAATCCACATTCGTAAACATATGCAAAGAAAGCAAAGAATGACAATATAGCTATAAACCATAGTCCACAATGCCTTTTAAATACCATAAAATCCGTTTCATAGCTTGAAAATGAAAAGTGGTAGGCTTATGCATAAACTAACAAACTTGACCCACTTCAAAAGCAATATCAGGTTGAGTACAAGTAAGATAATGAAGAGCACCAACAAGACTACGATACAAAGAGGGGTTATGATACAAAGAGGGGTTATGATACAAAGCACCATCATCAACTGTTTAATTTCATCTTTGGACTCAATGGTGTAGAGGCAAACTTACAATCACACGTACCACTCTTAGCATGCAAGTTAGCAACCTATTTAGATTGAAATAAGAACAAGCCAATAGCATTAAAGTGAGCTCTAATGCTAAGAAAATAATTTAGAGAGCCCAAATTAGTCATTTGAAATTCAAATTTCAGCAAGGAAATAATTTTAGCCAGCAAGGATGGAGACGAAGCAGTGAAAATAATATCATCCACATAAAAAAGAAGATAAACCATCAAACTAGATTTGTGGAACACAAACAAGGACCAATTAGACTTAGCCTGAACAAGGCTACCAGAAAGGAGAAAAAAAGTAAACTTGTGAAACCATGCACATAGAGCCTATTTCAAGCCATAAAGTGCTCAATGTAACTTACAGACATAATCCAGTTAAACGGAATCAACAAAATTAGGCGGCTAAGATTTGTAAACAGTTTCAGACAAAGTACCATTAAGAAGAGAATTCTTGACATCTAGCTGGTGAATATGCCGAGAATGCATTACTACAAGAGAAAGGACAATTCGAATAGTGACAGGCTTGACAACAAGACTAAATGTTTCATCATAATTAATACTAGGTTGTTGAGTGTAACCTTGAGCAACAAGACATACCTTCAATATTTCAACATTGCCATCCACCCTCTGTTTAATACACTAAACCCATTTCAACCAAAATATTAGTATTAGGAAGACATGGAACCAAACTCTAAGTATTATTGTGAAGAAGAGCTAAAAATTCTACGACCATTACAATGCACCGAGTCAGATCTGCACTTGCTTCCTTGAAATTTTTTGGCTCTCTCAAGGCACAAGCAGTAGCAAGCAAGGAAGGCAACACATGAATCTTACAAGTTCCATTTGGGGACCTAGTAACCATGGAATGAGTCCGACCACCATGACTCATGACATGGCTCGAAGATGAAGTGGTGGTGGAAGAAGTAGAAGAGCTAACAACAAGAGGATTGGTTGGACTACTTGAAAGATAAAAAGCATCACCTGTAGGAGCATCAGTACGAGCAATAGCAAAAGGAGTACCTGCATGGCTAGAAATATCATGAGTAGATGGCAAAGAAGCAACAACTAGATTGCTTGGCACATGTGACGAACTTGCGGAACTAGTTGGGGAATGAGCATTGACAAGTGGGGCAGTAAGTGAGGGAAAGCATGAGGTAGCATGTGTGGGATGAAGGGATGAACTAGGGACAACTGGAAAATGGACAAGGGTAAGTGTAGGAAGTGGGACATGTGGAGGTACAATAGATGGTTTTATTGGAGGTGGGAGGACAACATCAAAAAGGTGGAATGGAGCATGGAAAATGGATGAAGAAGTAGGATTTGGGTAATTAATAGTAAGGGATTTATAGGGAAAGGAATTCTCAACAAACACAACATGTCGCAAGAGTACAATTTTATTAGTGGCTAAGTCAAAGCAACAATAGCCCTTGTGATGTGTAGGATACCTAAGGAAAACACATAAAGTGGAATGTGAAGCAAGTTTGTGGGAGGTTGCAACGGAAAGATTAAGATAGCATGCACATTCAAAGGTTCGTAAATAATTGTAGTTAGGCACAACACCAAAAAGCATTTCGTGTGGTGTAGAAAAATGTAACCTGATTGAAGGTAAAATATTTAAATGATGAATAGCCATATAAAGAGCTTCCACCCAAAATGTATGAGATAAATTTGCTTGAAAAAGTAAGGATCAAACTATATTCATAACTGTTCGATTCATTCTCTTGGCTTTCCCATTTTGCTAAAAAGTCAAGGGACATGAAGGACGAGGATGAATTCCAATGGATTGAAAATAATGAGCAAAATCAAAATTATCATATTCACGATCATTATCACATTGCAAAGCCTTAATTCGAGCACCAAATTGAGTTGGATCATAGGCAAAAAATTTAAGAAAAGATTGAAACACCTAAGACTTAGAATGCAAGGGATAGATCCATAAATAATCACTAAAATCATCCAAAAACAATAAATAATATTTGATACCACTAAATGAAATAGTTGGGGAGGTCCAAACATCAGAATGGACTAATTCAAAAGGTGTTAAAGTTATAGAACGAGACTCAAAAAGAGAAAGACGAACATGCTTCCCTAGTTGACAAGCATGACACAAATCAAAAGAGACTCTAATTTTAAGAAGAAAGAAGACCACGCTTTAAAAGTTGTTGAAGAGAAGCTGAACCCAGATGACCAAAATGATGGTGCCACACATCAGTAGAGGCAATAGTAGAATGAACTTCAAGAAAACTTGGAAGGAAATAGCTAGACACAGAATAAAGGCCATTTGGACTAGAGGATGTTCTTCGTCTTGATGTCCTTTATAAAAAAACCAAAAGAATCAAAATCAATACTACAATTATTATCACAAGTAAATTGACGCACTAATACAAGATTTTTAGTAATTTGAGGTGAAACTAAAACATTATTTAAGTGAAATTGACAATTAGCAAAGGAAAGAATAGTATTACCCGACACAATAACAAGCAACAACTGGCAACAACCAACTTAAACAAAATCAAATTTTAAACGAGATGACTTTCGAAGTAAAGAGTTGGGATTATTAGTAACATGAGTAGACGCACCTGAGGCAATATACCAATTGAGATCAAAGGGAGAAGTAAAAGAACCAGCGATTGATGGGTAGAGGTAGATGCTGTCATGGGCTGAATAGGAAGCAAAGGGCAATCACAAGCTTGAAGGTTAGGCTGCTGGCACCACTGACAGGAAATAAAAGAGCAAGTTACTGGTGTAGATAGTGTAGGAAAAAGAGGAGGCAAAGCCCGAGAAGACACAACACCATGGTTACTAGAAAAATAACCACCAGAAAATTCAGATCCACGTCCAAAAGTTATAGAAAAACCAAAGTGACAAGAACCTCCATAGGAACGCCCACGATTACCTCGGACATTACGACGGCCTCCTCTACGACTAGACCATCGTCCTCCTCGAGTTGAAATAGTCAAAGAATAAAGTTATGGATGATTGCCACAAGAAATATCCTAGGATGCAGCAGAGGAAGCAACCGGTGTTTGCAGATGATGAGAAAGGTGAAGCAATTGTGGATTACTGGGAGAAATCATAGGTTGAGTGTCCCGATTGGCTGCTTCATGGAGAAGAGTGGCTTCTTCAATCAACAAAAGAGAGTGTAGTTCCAACAAACGGAGAAAGGGATTTCGTTGAGCTATTATTCTTTTAGCAACTCTGTACTCAGAATCAAGACCAGCCAACACTTGAAACACCAAATCACCGTCTGTTTTTGGATGCCCAACACCATGCAACTTATCAACCAATCCTTTCACATGCTATAGATAGCTAAGCATATATTGTCCAGGTTGCTTATGCATAGAAGAGTACTCTTCTTGAAGAAACAAAGTCTGAGCAGCCAATTGATTTTGATAGAAAGTATGAATTGCATCCCATGCTTCCTTGGCCAAAAGAGATCTCCCTAGTTGTATGATCATCTGTAACACCTCAGTAGAAATTCTTGCTTGAATCCAGGATAGAATTTGATAATCAATCTGCATCCAGGTTTCAAAGTTCGGACTGTCTGATGAAGGACAAGGATCTGTGCCATCAAAATGAGCATAAACAGCTTTGCTCTTCAGAACTGGAACCATTAACTCTCGCCAAACAATGAAATTGTGATGGTTTAAAGTCTTTGAAACAAAGTTCTTAATATTTGAAACTGTAAATACAAGATGTGAGAAAGTATTGTAGGCCATTGGATTTGGTGCTCTTGAGGAAATAGGTAAGATGGGAAGTGTAGGAGATGCTGGACTTGCCAAATTAGGGATCAAAGGCCACTGGGTTTGTGGAGGCCATTGAGTACCATTGGAAGTAGAGATTGGATTGAACAGAGAGGAATTGGATATGGTAGGACTATTGGTTGCTGTAGGATATATAAAGACACATGACACAGGCACAGGAAGAGAAGAAGAGGAAATAGGATTAGTAGACATGAGGAAGACAAGATCAAAAGACACAGAAAAGCCTAGAAGATGATTGGTGTCTGGCTCTGATACCATGTAGAAGATAAGGTTTCCAGGGTTTTTCATTATTGTAGAAGAGTATATATACGTGTGGTATATTGTAGAAAATACCCTAACTACCCTTTACAAGTATACAACTATAATATATACATTATCAATAACAATGTATAACAATTTGTCTTCTTCAATCTATAACAATTTGTCTTCTTCAATCTATAGCCTATTAAATTGCAGGCACAAAAGCTATACATATAAAGAAATCGAAGTCATGAATATACCAGAAAGCGCAAGTCGGTCTGTACCATCTCTAAGCATCCCGTGGAGCCAATTGTGTGTAGTTGATTGTTGTGGTAAACATGAATAGAGTAACAGACATCTTAATCTCCTACGGTCTGCAAGCAGGCAAGTTAGCATATTAGAAACGCAGAGATGTCAAACGGAAAGCTAAAAAGGCAAAAATCCACAGCAGATCTGAACTTAATTCAAGTTTTCCAAACAAAACGTAACATTTAATAAATTTCCTCAAACAAAATATAGAATGCATCAGCGCTTTAATCTCCTCTATTTATGATCGCACGACTTATTGCATCCAAAACTGATCCAAACAATTCATCGCAAACAGAGAAAAATTGCTCAAAATTCTTCTCCGTTGCAAACAATAAACTAAGATACTAGCAATCACAGATGAAGCACAAGAAGATACGCAAATCATCGTATGTATAAGAAAATCAGAAAAATAGCATTTGAATCTTGAAAAGATTATCTCGTAGTTTGAATTGAAGTGAGTTTCGGATGAAGAAACAAGTAGATCGTAGTATTTATGCGAAACTTAAAAAAAAAAATCGCATTTGAATCTTGAAAAGATGATCTCGCAGTACGATTTGAAGTGAAGTTTCAGATGAAGAAACAGGCAGATCGTCGTATGTATGTGAAAATCGGAAAAATCGCATTTGAATCTTGAAAAGATGATCTCGCAGTACGATTTGAAGTGAAGTTTCAGATGAAGAAACAGGCAGATCGTCGTATGTATGCGAAAATCGGAAAAATCGCATTTGAATCTTGAAAAGATGAGATCGGAGTATGAATTGAAGAGGTTTCAGATGAAGAAGCTAACCTTTCGCCTGCCGGAGTAGAAAGAAGCAATATGAAGCGAGAGACGGCGAGATCAGAGAGAAAGTGAAGTAGACGCTGGAGACTGAAGCTCCTGGTAGAGAGCAGAGAGGATTGGGGATTTGCCTCATTTGCCACCTTACCGCCATTTTTTCTTTATATTTCACCTGCTTTCCCTCCTAAATTTTTTTCCCTTCTCCACTCTCATTCGTGTTTTCGCGAGATTCGGCATTTGGTGCTTTGATTTGAGAATTGAGATTGTCCGCTTAACGTGAGTGCTGCGCTATTGGTAGACCCAGTGGGCTGTACTTCAACGGGTTATTGGCCCATGGCCCATACAAGTGGCTGTTTATGACCGAATTCCAGTTTTTCTGATAAGCATTCATCCTGGTGGAAAATGGATAACTCTCAAGAATACAATAAAAATTATAAAGTTTCCAATGTCAAAATTAAATCCTGTTTTCCATGCGGCGAAGATTTATTTAAATATGAAACTCTAAAATTATATTATCTCACTACAATTCAATTTTAGTTATTTTAATTTGGTGTTTAAATTTAAAAATTAGTGTTTATTAATTAGATTTGCGAAAAAATTAAGTAAAAAAAACATTCAAAATTTCATCATTTTAATAAAATATCACAAGAACAAGACAAACAATCTTATTCTTATTTTAAAAATTAAGATGTTTTAATTTTTTTAATAGAAATTATTTAAACTAATAGTGTTTTAAGATATTTTTTCACATAATTCTTTTAAGTATGACTAATAAATATTTTTCCCTTAAATTTAACTGTACACTTTTTTTATTTGAAGATATCATTTAATACATGCTTGCTTTTGTTAAAGGTTTTACTTGTATTTTTAAATGCAAGTGAAAAAAAATTACCAGCATTTGCAAAAACACCATACAAATGCTGACATTGCCAATGCCGGTAAATTCAATTCCTGCATTTTATACAAATGCTAATATAAACCTCTTTTCCCTTGCATTTACTGAAAACATAGGGAAATCACTTAAAGAATGCAGATGGTGCCCATGTTAAAAGTTCCAAATAATTGATGCTTTTGCCTGTATTTTTGGTCAAATGCAAGGCCTCTTTTTGGTCAACAACATTTTCATAAATGCAGGAAAAGTATTTTTTATTTTCTTGGCATCTCACTATTTTTTGGTAACCAAAACACTTCACA